CTCTTCCGCCCCAGACGTGCCTGCGCAGTGGAACGGCCTGGTAGAGGTGAGTGGGGGCAGCTGCCACTCGGCGCACTGCCCTCCCCCCGGGAAGCCGCTTCTCCCTGCACTGCCAAAAGTACCTTAAAACCTTTCCCTGGAGGAAAGGTTACCCCATGCAAAGTTTGGTTGCTGTAGCTCTTATAGTGCCCAAGTTATTAGTGCACAAACATACAAACATTCTCCTTTACATATTATATATATATATATAGAGAGAGAGAGGAGTTATATCACTTAACACACTTTCAGACATTTGTCTGAATGGATGCAATTAATGATATAACACACAATATTATCACCAGTATTGAGATTGCTTACCTAAAGTAGTACATTATTTATTATGTGTCAGGTTGCCAAAAGCATGTAATAAATGTTCATTCTAAAGAACATTTCAGACATACACATAAAACTAATTAATCACGTGATGTTCTCTATTTCTCCTCCCCATTGATTCTCCATAAGCTACTAGAAGCAGAGAATATGACTCTATATATCCATCAGGCACTTGGGATGTAAACATGTATTTAAAAGGTAACCGTGTAACCGCTAAAGAACCTAGCAATTAGACACTGTGAGCTCTGCAGTATAAAGCTTAAATAAGCCCCCTCTCTGGGAGTGGAGCCACCAGCCCCTGCCAATCCCACTGCCGCAGCAAAGCCTCTTCCCTGGGAGCAGAGCTGGCAAGGCTAAGAGACCAGGAATCAGAGGAACTGGAATTGCTAATTTATTATCATAAATTCAATCTAGTTGATATTACTGAAACCTGTTCGGGTGATCTGAACAACTGGGATGTTAAAATGTATGGGTTATAAACTATTTAGGAAGGATGAAGTGAGCAAAACAGGAGGAAGAATGGCACTGTATCAAATATAGCATTAACTGTTTCTGAATCACTGATAACTCAGAAAAAACAATTTTGTATGCATTTGAATCAATGTGCTAACAGATAAAGCACAAGGGTGGGTTATTAGTATCTGTCACAGATCACCAAATCACAGCAGGAAACAGAACAACAAACTCCTTATGTGCCTGTCTACAAAAAGGCAGCATGATCATGGGAAACTGATGAAAATGACATATGTTGGAGATCTTATGCTGCGAGTACTAAAATATCCTTAGAATTACTAAACATTAAAAGATGAGAATTTCCTAACAGAAAAAGTGTTGCAACCAACACAGGGGAATTCTGTATCTGACCTTGCCCTAGCAGATAAAACAGGAACTGATCACATTACTAAAAATTAATGGTCGCTTAGGTACAAATTATCATAACTTTATCACATTTACAATGTTTAAGCGGACTAACACCCAGAACAATAATATATATATTTGGTGCTTCAAAAAGGACCAATTTCACAAAGTTCAAAACAACTGTGACTAATTTAAAATAAAAATTGGTTGCTTTTCAAAAAATATGCTCTAGGAATTATTTCAGGGAAAATCTTTGGCCTGTATTATACAGCAGCTCATACTAGATAATCATAATGATCTCCTTACTATTTTAGGTAAAAACAAGGAGTCCTGAGGTATCTTGTAGACTAACAGATTTATTTGGGCATAAGCTTTCATGGGTAAAAACCACTTTGTCAGATGTATGGAGAGGAAATCACAGAGATTGGTGTGTGTATATGTACTAGCATATCAAAAGAAGTGAGTTACAGGACTCCTTGTTTTTGCAGATACAGATTAACATGGCTATTCTCTAAGGGTATGTCTACACTACAAAGTAAATTCGAACTAACAGACGTTAGTTCGAATTAACTTTGATAGGCGCTACACTAGCACTCCACTAGTTCGAACTTAATTCAAACTAACGGAGCGCTTAGTTCGAACTAGGTAATCCTTTTTCCACGAGGATTAAGCCTAGTTCGAACTAGCTAGTTCAAATTAAGGGGTGTGTAGCCCCTTAATTCGAACTAGTGGGAGGCTAGCCCTCCCCAGCTTTCCCTGCTCGCCACTCTGGCCAACACCAGGGAAACTCTACTACCCCCCTCCCGGCCCTGGACCTCTTAAAGGGGCACGGGCTGGCTACAGTGCCCGTGCCAGGTGCAAGTCTGCCAGCACCCAGCTAGCAGACCCTGCCCTTTGCAGGGCAGGAACCAGCCACCCGCTGCC